TAGAAAAGTTAGATGCTCAGAGACCTCCTCTATTAGCTCCTTGAGTATTCTAGGATGCATTTCATCAGGCCCTGGTGACTTGCAGGCATCTAACTTTTCTAAGTGATTTTTAACTTGTTCTTTTTTTATTTTATCCGCTAAACCTACCCCCTTCCCATTAGCATTAACTAGAGGAGGAAACATCTGAGAGTGGGGTGTAGGAGAACAAAAGCAAAATTTTATATTTGAAAATGAGCAAGGGTTTTTTTTCATTTACTCCTTCAAACAGTTCTCCTTCTACATACAAACAAAATGAGCTGATCTAAAACTACAGGTGCATATGCAACAATTGAACTGAGTTTCCAGTGTAAGATACTAGGGGTGTGTGTGTGTGTGTGTGTGTGTGTGTGTGTGCGCGCGCGCTCTATATTGTATCTCTGTTGTATAGAAATAATCACGTATATAAAAACAACTTTTTTGTTGAATTAGATTCATTGTCAAATAACTGGGTCATTTATATTAAACAAATCTAGAAGCCCTGATTTTACACTGACGTGCTGTTCTAAATTAGAAGAAGGCTTCTTGAGAGCATGTTGACGTTCCCCTGTCAGTGGAGGGCACAAGGACCCAATGGTAGAGGAAAACCATTTAAAATGCCTTCTCTCCCCTAATGTTTCAGGAATTCATGTGAACAATAACCTGAATAACTTGAAATATGGCACTGACCACCACAGAACATCATCTTATACACAAGGGGCGGTGAAGTCTGGGAAACAGGAAACCTCTACTCGCTCAGCAGCCAGTGACAAGATTGTATTGCTGGTCTGCAACAGAGCATCTACCGGACAGCAGGGGAAAAGGTAAACGCCAGCTTCCAGGCTACACCTCTGGTCGTGGCCTCCATGGAAAGCCAGGATTCACTGTTGTAACTCTCCATGTCCTGGGACGACAGCATAGACACCTCTCTGGAGCCACAGTGTAAAGTCCGAACTCTTGTTGGGAGCCAGAGTGAGGTGTGAAGACTTGTTGGCCCACTAAAAACATATGTTCAGTGATGTAGCCATTGGATTCATTTGAAACCATTAATAGTTGAGTCTGCAGTTAAATGGGTGCAACTTCTGTGAACACTAATGGGAGCTGTGTGTGTCATAGGGAATTAGATCCCGTCAGGTGGCCTAAAATCACCTCTGATGAGTCCAGCCTGTCCTTTGAGGGTGGTGCTGTTCACACTTGTACCTGATGTGCCTCCCTGCCAAATGTCAAGGCTCTACCGGCTCTTGCTGGGGTGATCGAGTGGGCCTGGGAAATATTTTATAATGAGAAGTTTCTTTTCCTTCCTCGTCTTTGTATTGATAAATGGCTGAGCCATTGATGTTCACGCTTTCCAAAAACTCACTTTCAGGTAGGGGTTGGACCCCAACATTTCAGCCTGAAAATGGGACCTTGTTGGTGGGAAGTTAGGACCAACTGAAAAGGCCCTTTTGAATGTGACTGCTGAGACAGCCTTAACAGTAACTTGTCCCTGTGTGCTCCAGGGTGTACCTCTGAATGTTCACCCTCCCTCCCCCAAAATGCATCTGGGCTTGATTCTGATCTCAATAGGTCTCCGAGGCCTGGGCTCCACTGAAGTCAGTAGAGGTGGGGTGAGGGTAGAATTGGGCCTTATGTGTTTTCCTGAGGTGGTAACTGGACTTAACGAGGAGAGGGTGAGCTTTGCCATCGACTCTGCTGGGAGCAGAATTAGGCCATTGCTGGAAATCTCATACAGTGTGTCAGCTTTAGGGCTGATGCTATTCAGTGTTGTAGACATGCAGTGAGAGAGGGCAAATAACATCAACTGAATCAGGATCGTCCCTTCAAAAAGACTAATCTTCTAACAGTTTCTTAAAACGTTGCTCCCTTTGATAGGTTTGGCCAGCCCTTTGTGTTGCACCTGGAGAAAACAATTGTGTGGGATCTCCTCCAGAAGGAAATCCTGGAGAAGATGCAAAATATTCTGCGGCCCTCAGCCTGCATTCAGGTAAGACAGACTGACACTTCTGATCCTGGAATTTCCACCTCTTTGTCTTTGTAGCTTAAAGCTGATGAAGAATCCAGTTGATTGGAGGTGGCGAAGGTGCTGTGTGTGGTGATGGAATATTCCTTGAGTGAAATATATGCCCGGGGGTAGTGTGCAGTCTGACAGTCAGCCTGTGTGTGCCGTTTGCCGAATTGCCCGCTTTTATTTACCACCTTGAAAACATATAGGTGCTCGGCCTGGGCAGGGGCTGAATGAAGTCTGCTTCCTATGGCTGTTGCATAAAGGATTTCTGTCAATAGCTCTGCTCACCATTCTGAGAGCAGCATGCTGTAAGAACTCTTGCGTTACGCTTCCTTCCATAACTGAAACCAGCCAGCAGGAGATCTCTGCCTTTTACACCCCTTAGAACAGAGCCCTTCGGTCTAAACCAGGGGGCAGCAACCTTTCAGAAGTGGGGTGCCGAGTCTTCATTTATTAACTCTAATTTAAGGTTTTGCGTGCCAGTAATACATTTTAACATTTTTAGAAGGTCTCTATAAGTCTATAATAAATAGTTTAGTTATTGTTGTATGTAAAGTAAATAAGGTTTTTAAGAAGCTTAATTTAAAATTAAATTAAAATGCAGAGCCACCCCCCCCCCAACCGGTGGCCAGGACCCTGGCAGCGTGAGTGCCACTGAAAATCAGCTCACGTGCCACGTTTGGCACGCATGCCATAGGTTGCCTACCCCTGGTCTAAATGATAGCCACCCACTGTTCAGGTCTCATACTTGGAATTTCCCCCTGATATTAAAAGCCTGGGCTTGGCAAAATTTGGGATGAGCAAGCGTCTGAAATTTGGTGTGTGACCCATTCTGGGGAGCACCAAAGGGATTGCCCTAGGGCTGGGCACCTCCAATAGGGAGTGAAGTGCTTGTATGTTCTTGGCGTGCCATATTGATAGTTACTTCATTCTCAGGTCAGATATCTAGTGATCAGGACATAACTTCTGCATTTAAAAGAGAAAATCCCTTTGCCAAGCGCTCTGAGCTGAGGCGAGCATGAGAAATGCAATGCCAAGGGAAGTAGGCGCACTAGAGTGCTTGGCTTCAGCCTGATGCAGGCACTGCTTGTCTTTGGTCTTTGCATAAGGTGGATGGAGGAGCTGAGATCAGGTTAGATGGGAAGCCCGAGAATTTTCCTGTCCCCTTAGTACTTTGGTGGTCTGTTTAGAACCCATGCTGATCTTTCCATCTCTTTATTCCTGGGGAACTTTTGCTCCAGTTAGTCCTTTGCTTATAATTGTGTCAATGAGAGGATTGCTCGTTTTCCTCACACCCCCACTCAATAAGCCTCAGTTTAAATTGCAAAAATCTGAGGCTTGACGCTGTAATGAGTAATTTGTAAGATCAAACATGTGCCAGCCTTTGTTTTGTAGTTCTGCCATTAACATTCTTAATTGAGAAATCTGCCTTAAAAAAGAGATTGAAACATTAGTTGATGTGTTCATGGCTCCCCCAAGCATGCTAGGTGGCTCTTGGAGCAGACATGTCTGTTGGAAAAGTCTGTGTAAGAACAAGCAGGTGAGGGGAGAGAGGAGACATTGCCTATCACTACGGAGGAATTTCTGGTGATTCTCCCAAACCTCTGCTCTTTCACGTGTCCCCGCGTTGGCTTCCAGGTGCAGGAACATCTACTCTTAGCACAGTAGCCACGAGAACTTAATCTACTTGTGAAACACATACTCAGAGGGGCAGATCCTGCCTTGGAACTTGCAGGGAATGAACCAGTCCTGTAGAATAAATCTAACTTCAGTCACTCAACCAGTTTACTTTTTATCCTGTTTACCATAGGTGTGTCCATTCAGCTTGCGGGTGGTTAGTGTTGTGGGCATAACATACCTATTACCTCAGGAGGAACGGCCCCTCTGCCACCCCACTGTGGAACGGTAAGTGCAGCCCTTGTCCCCCCTGTGGGGCACAGTTTTTCCCCAGTTCACTACTCACTTGTTCTAGTGTTGCAGTTAAAGTATTGCTGCTTAGTCCGTAGGAGACGGGTGCCTTACGTGTGGGAGCATAGACAGACTTTCTAAACCTGGGGCCATGGGCGTATTTTATATTGGTTGTCAGAAAATTCCATTAGAAAACTCCTACTTGGTGCCACTTGGAGAAGGAGAGCGAGTGATTGGAAATAGATGGGGAGAAAAGATGAGCAGCTTTGAGAGGCAGGTGTGCGATGCCAGAGATGGTAAAAGACTAAGGGAGTAAAATGACTGCAGGCCCCATGGGCGGCAGGTCTAATGGCCAGGGGAGGCTCTGCCTCCCCTGCCGTGGCTGCTGGACCCCGGTTGTGGGGTTTGGTGGCGAAGTTTTTGCTTTATTATGCCCCATGCAGGTTCCGGGGTGGCTGAGGAGGCACATACTTCTGCCTCAGGCGCCCCAGAACCTGCATGGGGCATATCAAAAGCATGGGGCATATCAGGGCTTCAGCTGGCCCGGGGCTCTTCCAGCTGAGGCGGGGGGGTCTTGGGGCTCTGGCCATGGGGAGGGTGCAGGCAGAAGGGGCAGAGTTGGGGGCTAGCGTCCCCAAAGGGCTGAGCAAAGGCTGTGTTCAGCTGTGCCCAGGATGGGACCATCTCTAGGAGCGAGAGGAGTTCAACTTACCGGCTGTTAACTGGCATTAGACATGCTAGTGTTGAAGGAAAACAAGGAAGGGACTGCAGGCTCTAAAAAATCTCATCTCTAAAATTGGATTTCTGCCCCCAGAGTGGAACACATTATAGTAATTCTGCCTTTCCCTACTACTCCCATCCCACAATGCTTCAGGAACCTTACTCAAGAACCACTTCACCCATCATTGCAACGCACACTCATCTAGGTGCTTGGATAATGTGAGCAGAGTCCTATATGTAGCTAGAATCGATTGGAGTGCAAAACCATAGCAGCAGTGTGTGACATTACTGCATTATCCTGAAGACAGGGAATGAAGCAAGAAACTGTACCCAAAGGATATGATGGTCAGCAATAAAATACTGAAATGATGGGCATAATTAAGGTTAAGATTCTCTCACGGTTATTTGTAGTAAAAGTCGGACAGGTTGCAGACAATAAACAAAAATTCACAGAAGCTCATGACCTGTCCCTGACTCTTACTAAAAATACCCTGTGCGTAGGGTTAGAGGGGAACAGATGAACAAATAGATCACTGCTGGGGGCTTGCAGCTGTTTCAGCCCCCTGCGGCATGGGCTGTCTGCTGCCGCCCCGTGCTGGGGGCAGTCCGGCTGGCCGGAGGGGCTGCTGCTGCGGCAGGGGCTGACTGCCGCTGTTCCAGCACCAGGGGTGCTGACCCAACCGCAGCTGCTGCTTCATCCCTGCCCCAGAAGAAGTCAGAGAGAGCCTGGAAAATCATGGAATCTGTGACCTCCGTGACAGAATCCTATCCTTAGGCATAATGAAATGCCACAGGTAGATCCCAAATTGGAATTTGGCCAGTTCACTGGGGCAAAGTTTCGTGGGCACCACTCTTCTCTGTTATGTGCCATAGTACATTGAGTGGCTAGGGCCTCCAATTTTGGATGTGAGAAACCCTTTAAAATTCTTGTCAGTCTTGTGCATGGGACAGGCTTGATTACAGACAAAATCAGCCATTTTTCAAGGGAGAAAATGCTGGAATCCAGTTGGCTAACAGAAAATCTGGTTCATGCTCTGTTTCTCTGGTCACACGTGTTGCTGGCTTCATAACTTGCTGTTTGAGTTGTTTTCCTTGCTCCATTTTGCACAGTGAAGTGTGTCTAACACATGAATTGACAAGTAGTTTGTTTCTGGTATCATTTCTTTATTCTATTTCCTGCTGATAGCACGAAGGAAAATCCCCCAGAATATCTGGTCATTCTTGTGAATGGAGACTTTATGGATAAGCTGTTCTTGCTGGATTTTTTTTTGTGTGTGTGTGTAGCCTGTCTGTATTGATGTAGCCAGTTAGCGGCAGTAGTAGCTAAGCTGAAAGACTTGCTTCTCTGATCCAGCTGAGTTCCTGCTTCATAGGGCCCTGCTAGGTTAGCTCAGGGGCTGAGGGGGCACAGTGGGTATAGGTATAGATATAGATACAAACATGCGGTACAGGGTGACTGGAGGTTTAGACCCAATGCTGTTCTAACCCTATGATGTCGTCTTCTCTCTCCAGGGCACTGAAATCATGTGGACAGGGTGGAACTGCTCATGTGAAGTTGGTGGTAGAATGGGACAAAGAGACTAAAGATTAGTAAGTATGATTGCATTAACTGCAGGGAAATATTGGCAAACAGCCTGGCATGATAGGAAATGCAGCAAACTGTTAAATCCAATAGAATCTGCAGCTTCTGAGCTGTTTCAGGTTAGACTGTAGCTGTAAAGACAGGAGGATCTAGTGACTGGAGCTTGTGAGTGGTGGGATCCCTACTTCTGTCTAGCCTGAATTCCGTACTATCCGAGCTGGCTTCTCAATCACAAACCGTTTGCTCCATGTGCACAGCTCCCATTCATGTCAGAGGGGTCTTAAGGGAAATACATCAGGTGGCTTTTCTGCTACCTGATCCAGACCGAAGGCTGAGTGAAAACTGCTTCCCTTTCTTGCTTTAAGTTAGTTGTTGTAGAACAGCCTCTTACCAAGGCTGGCTCCCTATGGGATGGGACAGATCAAGCAAGCAATACCTCCAGCCCTGCAGTGGCTCATCTGTAACTTTGGGGTGTGTATTGTACAACTGGTAAATGCCTTGTTTCCCTGATGCAGTTTGTTTGTGAACATGGAGGATGAGTACGTCCCAGACTCCGAAAGTGTCCGCCAGCAAAGGGAGCTTCATCACCAGCCTCAGTCCTGCACTTTATCTCAGTGTTTCCAACTTTACACCAAAGAGGAACAGGTAGGAGCAGGCCTCTTTCAATATGGGGCGGGAAGCTGGGGAGGAGAAGGGGATTCCATCATCTTCTCTGCTGCTTTACTCACTTCTGGTGCTGCCGAGATGCACTAGTTTGCTGGAGTAGCTGTTCTGCAGACATGACTCATTGGGGTGTGAGAGCCCCAGGTTCAAATCCTTCTCCCCCTCTGGCAGTGTCCGCCTTTGGAAGGGGTAATGCATTCTGCAGATGTGCTTCACGAGAGTCTGGAGACAGTGTGGGCTTCTCTTTATTCTCATGGGAATATGCTATTGTGTGTTTCCAAGTTACTTAACCTCTTGTAGAAGAACTTCTTCAAGCTGGGGACGTTAGAGGGAGAGATTGCTAGCTTGGTATCAGGTGCCTTCAGACAGCCTTTTCCTGGCTTCTGGGAGGGATGTTCTGTGCATGCTAAGGATGGGGCTGTAAAGGAGGATAACATGCAAATGTCACTTTCATGCATGCACATGTGATCTGAATGCCTGGCTATGAAACGGGCTGGCACAATCCAGAACATGAAATTGGGTTCCACATGTCTTGGGCAGGGGGCTGTAATTACCGATAGGAAGCAGTGTAGTCCCAAAGCTAAGTTCAAGCTGTTCTGCAGTGGCTCGAGCATGAGTACCAGCCTCAGGGCAGGCTGTTCGGAACCAGGGACCAACCCCAAACTGGCTGAGATTTCTATACGTTCACCAACCAACTAGCAAGTGTAAACTCCTTGGGCACTATCACAGCCTAACCACGGAGTCACAGACCGTTCCCTTGGGCACCCCCTATTCTGTCTTGCCACCCTGGTAAGCTTACTTTTGTGATAAACGTCCCTTACACCAAGTATCACAGCAATGCTCAGGACACTTTCAGTCTCAAAGGACCAGTCACTTACCCCAGGTCACTTGCACTTTGGATCTCGCCCCAAAGACAACGCTTGTAGCCCATCCTATAATAAACTATCTGAAGATTTATTGTGTAGGGAATGGATACAAGAGAGTTATTTACAAGGTTAAAGCAGGAACATAGATACGCACAAATGAGTTGCAGTCTAAGTTTTAAAAGATAATAAAAGCTTCTCTGATAAGCAAGCTCTATCTGACCTTTAGGGCTAAACCTGGGGGATCTTTTGCTTATGTCAAATAATCCTTGTCCTCCAGAGTCCAAGCAGCATAGAGATACAGCCCCTCCTTGTTAGGGGCTTTTATAGCCTGGGCCCCCTTCTGCTTTGAGCGGCAAACTGAGCTGATGGGAGGAATTCACTTGCAAGACTTGTCCTCATGGGATGTGGGGGCAGAGTAAGCAGGCTTTTGCCCTTTGATGTTCCACTTTAGCCCATCTGTCGATGATGGGCCTTCCTTGTGAGGCAGGATAGAACCCCTTCTGTGGGAGACCAGCATTTCACACGAAATAATGTTTCTCCCGCCTGGTGATTTTGCACAGTTGCAAAGGCTTAGAATGCAAATGTTCAAATATTACCTTACAGTATGGGATACAGACGTCATATGTGAGATTAATGTATGCAACAGCTCACAAGCATTCAATAAAACTTAAACACTAAACACATCCTTGTAATTCCAATACCTGTTTTAACAATACTAACACCCTGGTGAGCCAGACTGATTTCAGCAGTGTATTTGTCTGTGTTCCATTGAGCCACGTTCTCGCCCTCAGCAAAAAATCGCTTTCTCATACTGCCAGACCTGTCCGTTTTTTACCTACGTGTGTGTGTGTGTGTGTGTGAGAGAGAGAGAGAGAGAGAACGTGGAAGTAGGTGCTTTGCACAGCTGCACTGGCTGAAGTGCCTCCTGCATCCATCCACTTCATTTTTATTACGCACCATCAATGTGGCGAGTGGTGGGGAGCTCCTCTGCGCTGCTGGAAGCCCCTGTTGGCCAGGGTGCCAGCCGGACAGTGAAGGTGTTTGGAGCAGGTGTCTGGATGCACTGCGTCTGAGCGCATAAGTGAGCAATGGCTGTAGGGAAATGTTTGAATTGAGATGTTTGCCAGCTAACAGCTGCTAATGCTCCTTGTTCTTAGCTTGCTCCAGATGATGCATGGCGCTGCCCCCATTGCAAGCAGCTGCAGCAGGGGAGTATTACATTGAGCCTATGGACTTTACCCGATGTTCTCATCATACATCTAAAGAGGTTTAGACAGGTAAGAAACCTGAAGTGGGAGACTCCAAAAGGAACCCTGAAAAATGGGCTTTCAAACTACTGACCCTCTGAGGGTAGGCGGTTGATTGGCACTTTGCCTGTTGCCTACATTGCAATGCAACACTGTCCCCAAGTGGCCAATTGTGCTCACTAGAAGTATGAATATCCTAGATGGGCTTGTATTGACACCTGGAGTTGTGGTTCTTGTGCAAACCAAAGTAAAGTCAGTGTTCCTCAACACAACCGACACTGCAGTTCAAAGCTGCATTTACTGCACACTGGAACATGTCGGCATTGCCTGCCTTCCTGTGCATTCTTCTGTCTGCCATAACTGCTTTCGGCTTTGGAACTTCGCTCTCGTTTCTCTAGTAACCTCTGGAGAGAGGAGTTGTAGAGAGAAGTCCCTTACGGTGCGACTGTGCTTCTGCATCCTGCATTCCTCTTCTCCTCAAGCTCCGGATCCTCCCTGCCATTGTAACACATGTTTCCTTTCAAACAGGAAGGAGACCGAAGAATGAAACTGCAAAACATGGTCAAGTTCCCTCTGACCGGCTTGGATATGACCCCTCACGTCGTCAAACGCAGTCAGAGTAGCTGGAGTCTGCCATCTCACTGGTCCCCATGGAGACGACCCTACGGTCTTGGAAGGGATCCCGAGGATTATGTCTACGACCTGTATGCGGTGTGCAATCACCATGGCACTATGCAAGGAGGGCACTATACAGGCAAGTGCTCTGCGGCGTTCGACTGATACACTTTCCAGGAGATGGGTAACTGTCAGGGTGGATTTCTGTACCCTCACCAATGTGCCACCTTCCCAAACCTGCAGGAGTCTAGCTTGGCCCCTCTGAGCCTGCTAAAAAGGGGCCATTTAGAGTTAATTTTATAGGTGTGTTTTTGTGACCTGCTTACAGGGAACTGGAACAATGCCCTCTAGGCCCAAACTCCCTTCACACGTCCTACCAAACAGCCTGTGCACAGCTCCTTCTAGTGCAAATAATTCCAGAAACACAGTTGAATAGCAGACTCCAACTCTAGGTGCTTGGAGAACATGGTGATGAGGGCTGCCAGATAGGTACTTAGAGCCCTGTTTGCTGCTGCCTACTCCCTAATGGCACTGACTTTGACAGGAGTTTGCCAGATTCTGGAGTGCCAATAGGGTTTTAGAAACGAGCTGCACATTAGATGAAATTACAATCAAATCTGACACAAATTCGTGTCTCCCAGTCGTCCTAACTGCTTTTCTTGGAGCTAGACATGCTAAAAAGCCATAATCCTTAGAACGGATGGTCAAGTTAACTCTCCTTACAGCTTCCAAAATGCTGGTCAGTGCTCGCCTGCCACCAGAGCTTGTGTTGTATATGAGCTTCAGCTATGTGTGTGCATATCCCAGCAGATTCCTACTTGCTTGGCCTTATGTAGCTCTAAGGAACAGCTGGAGAGAGACAGGAATTTAACACCGCTCAATGTCTTTGCTTGTGCGCTCCCAGCCCAGTGATCAGACACATACCAGTCCTTCAGTGTGTATCCTCTGGATGTTCTAGTCCTGCATCATTCTGAATAGGTTCCGTTAAGAGACAAGATACAGCAACAGAAGCAAAATGCCACAAATAAAATATAAAACAAATAGAGCTGCCCCAAAGCAGGGGTCCCTTCTCTATGGGCAGCACGGGGCAACCGTAGGCACTGGAGTGCCTACGATGTACATCTCTGGTGTCTTCAGCAAGCTTCCCACTGGCCATTCAGCGTCTGGGTAGCCAGTATAATAAATCTGTGATCCTTCCTTCTCCACTTCTGCTACCACGGGCTCACTTAGACAAAGAGGTTGCTTGCTGTTTGCCGTACAACAGATTTGGCTGCTGGGTTGGCAGGAATGAAGTAAATGGTGCCTGGTGCTGTGCGGTCTCTAACGCACTCTTCTGTCTCACAGCATATTGTAAGAACTCTGTAGATGGCTTGTGGTACTGCTTCGATGATACTGACGTGCAGCAGTTGCCAGAAAATGAAGTCTGCAAGCAGACTGCTTATATCCTCTTCTACCAGAGGCGCACGACGATCCCATCCTGGTCGGCTAACAGCTCTGTGGCAGGTAAAGCCAGGCTGGCTTGGTCAAGGAACTTACATGGTCTTTCCTTATAGAAATGACGGAAGAGCTTTAGCTTAGTGATCAAATCAGCCTTGTGCCTCGCTCCTCGTCAGCCCCGGTGCGCAGGGCTGCTGTGGGAGTGGTCAGGGAGCTGGCGTAGCTAACTAGCCGTGTCGCTAGCCCTTGTGGCTGCCTGTTCTTAATGATGGTTTCAGCTTGTGCTGACAAGGCAGGAGGGGAGAGAGCTCCCAAAGAGCTTACAGCCCAAGCTCTGCCCATCCTAGAGCATGTGCCTGAGTTTGCTCCCACTGAGGCCTTGTCTCGATGCTGAAGATGCTGGGAAATTCCTCCACTGCTGCTCTGGCGTTTGCTCTGTTCTCTTGGGGCTAGTCCTGGGGGACCCACTCCTGTAGCACAGGCACTTTTACCACAGAGGGCTGTTCTGAACAACCCAGAGATAAAAATACTGCTGATCACACTAGCACGGCTGCTGTCGGAGCAGCCCTGGAGGGAGGACTTCAGTCTCATCAGTGCTGAGGGAACTTTAACCAACCTGGCTAGTGTCCTTGCCCAGTTCAGTTACTGCGCTCAGCTGTGTCCCTTCACCCTATCAGAGGCAGGTGGCTTCCTTCCTGTAACCAGTTCAGCTGTGTTTTTTATCTAGAGCGTCCTGATCATGTGTACAGTACTTTGGTCAGTCCTCCTTTGATTAGGAGGCCAGCGCAAGTGCACAGCTCCATGTGTCACTGGGGCAGCTCCACCTGCACGTTCTCCAGGCATGCTCTCCCGGCTGAGGTGCTGTAGGATGGCTGCCCAGACTCTTCCCAGAATGCACTCCTACAGACAAACTTCTTAGTGTATGTGCACCGTGCCTCAGGTGGCATGTACCCAGATTTCATCACCAGATTTGGTCTGCTGGGTGGATCATTAGCTTCCCTGGCCCAGGCCGGGTACTGATGGGGAGTGCGACGTGACTGTGGATCCATGCCCCATGGACACAAACTGAAGTGTTCCTGGTAGCTGGTTGAAGTGGCTGTGCCTCTAACTGGTTACAAAATCATGGGTAAAAGATGTGACGTGAATGTGGATTTATTCCTTCACTAGTCAGAACGTTGCAGTCACATAGGCACAGCTCTGCTTTCCGGGAGTTAGAGTTGAATCCCAGTGGCAGGAATGTAATTTGCTTGTGATCAGTCAGTGCCTTGGTAGGGGGTGTGTGATCTGTAATTGGCCACATGCTGCTGGTCTGATCTCAGTGCCCTGACCCCTCTGCAGGCTCTACAAGCTCTTCTCTGTGTGAACACTGGGTGAGCCGGCTTCCTGGCAGCAAACAGCCCAGCATCGCCTCAGCAGCTTCCTCCCGACGCACCTCTCTGGCCTCGCTGTCCGAGTCGGTTGAGCTGACTGGGGAAAGGAGCGAAGATGATGGTGTGTATGAGCGTTCTGATGCATTGTGTGGAAGGGGGTCATCAAATCAAAACTGGTCTGTGGATTTCCTCTCATACAGACCCTCTCCTAGGATAGCAGCAGAATGCACCCAGCACCGCAAGTGGGCTCCCTACGCTGAGCAGGGAGTGCTGGGGAGGCAGGCAGTGTACCCAGCCTCTAGGAGCAACAGACAGTGCCAGGAGACTGAGTGGCACTGATGGGGCTGCCCTTTTTGGGAGGGGGGGAACCAGCATAGAGAGCCTTGGAGAGGAAGAAAATGTAAGGTGGAAACCGCAGCATCTGCCCAGCCCCTCTAGAAAACGGCTTTGTTTATTTTTTTTGAGAATTAAGTTCTTTCTTGTTTGCAGGGAGCAATATCAGGCTGACACTCCACGTTCGTTTAGTGTAGAGCAGCGGTTCTCAAACTTCATGGCACCGCAGCCCCCTTCTGACAACAAAAATTACTGCACGGCCCCAGGAGGGGTGCTGAAGGTTGAGCCCACTCAAGCTTTGCTGTCCTGGTGGTGCCAAAGCCGAAGACCAAGGGCTTCGGCCCCAGGCAGGGGGCCTGTACCCTGAGCCCCACCGCCCAGGGGAAAGCCTTTGGCCCTGGGCCCCAGCAAATCTAAGCCAGCCCTGGCAACCCCATTAAAATGGGGTAGTGACGCACAGTTTGAGAACCGCTGGTGTAGTGTTGCCATGCTCAAAGCACGCATGAGGCCCGATCTTCTCATTTCCACAGCAAAGAGAACACTAGCACAAATAACCCAATAGCTGCTGGCTGCACTCCGCTTCTCCAGGCTTTCTCCATCTGCTGTTGGCTTAGCTTTCTGAGTTAAAAAACAAAACAAAACTAAGTGTTGCTCTCTTCCCCTGCAGGGGGATTCTCGACTCGACCCTTTGTAAGAAGCGTCCAGCGTCAGAGTTTGTCTTCTAGATCCTCTGTCACCAGCCCTCTGGCAGTAAATGAAAATGGCGTTCGGCCATCCTGGTCGCTGTCTGCGAAGCTGCAGATGCGCTCCAACTCTCCTTCACGCTTCTCTGGAGACTCCCCTGTGCGCACTTCTGCCTCGACACTGGAGAAGATCGGGGAGGCTGCTGCTGATAAAGTGTCCACCTCCTGCTTTGGCAGCTTAAGGAATCTCTCCAGTAGTTACCCGGAACCAAGTGACAGCAGCAGCAGGCGAGAACATAGGACTGTGGGCAGAGCCCCTCTGGCTGTCATGGAAGGGGTGTTCAGAGAGGAATCTGCTGCAAGGAAATCAAATTCTGCTTTCATGGACCCATATGGGAAAAGCTTGGTGCAAGCAGACAGGAGCCATCTGGCTCTGGACCCTTTTGATAACAACAATCAAATTGCTTTTGTGGATCAGAGTGACTCTGTAGAGAGTTCTCCAGTCAAAGAGGTGAAAGCCCCCAGTGGGACAGGGCTGCTCTCCGAGAAGGCAGATGGCACTCCCAAGAAGGCTCCCAGCTCCAAAGGCATTTCTGAGCCAGATAAAACTTTGAGGAAAGGAAGGACAGTCTTGTCTAGCCAAGAATCCCCAATTTCTCACCCCTCTCCTGCCTCTGCCCCTCCTTTAAAGACCTCTCAGAAGGTTTCCCGTTCCAGAAGCAAGACGGATTCTTCCAGGGCCAGTGGGCGACATGCATCTCCTGCTTCTGGCCAGACTAGAAAGGAATCTGGCGCCAAACTCCAGGAAAGCCGGGCTTTGTCATCGACTCAACAGAAACACAAGTCAGTTTCTTCCCCATCCTCCACAGCTGCCAAGAAAACCACTTCGGGGTCAGTGACACGGGGGCCCTCTGCTGGGAAGAGCCTCAGCAGGGAGGGCTCCAAGGTAAGCCTTGGCTCGGATAAGACCAGTGTCACTTCCAGCTCAAGAACCAGCTCTCCTCGGATAAGCCAGCCTAGAAGCGAGAGCAGAGCAATGGACAGCAAGCATGTGCGGAGCAACTCTATGGCCAGCCTGAGGTCCCCAAGCATCAGCATGCGTTCCGGTTTAAAGAGGGACAGCAAGTCGGAAGATAAAGGGCTGTCTTTCTTCAAATCAGCCCTGAGGCAGAAGGAGACCCGACGGTCGGCTGATCTGGGAAAGACTACAATGCTTTCAAAAAAGACTGCAGGTGGCTCCTCCAAGCCAGGCAGTAAAAATGTGGCCGAAGACAAGTCAGAGAAGAGCAGCCTCCCACCATCCTCTCATGCAAACCCCAACATTGCTGCGAAAGAGAAGCTTGCCCTCAAAGATGCCATGCCCAGCAAACATTCTCTGCTGTCCAGCCGCAAATCCAAGTCTTCCCAGATAGACCCCGGAGTGCAGTCTCCTTCCAGTGACAAACAGTCTGCTGACAAGTCATTGAAAAAGTTACCTTCCAGCATGCACATGTCTGCACGGCCTTCTCCGAAACCTCAGTGAGATGCTGCAATCCAGGTGTTTTTTTCTTCTGCTGAGAGCTAATTTATTCTGAGTTCTTGTTGTTGTTTTTTTTGTTCATGTGCCTAATGTGTGTTTGAGGAGAACTTAACTGCAAATTGGTAAAGCGCCTTTTGATTCTGCCATCAAACCAAATAGCCACAGCTGGCCAGCACTGATTCCAAGTGAAGTCCAGCTGGAGTCATAGAACATGAACGCAGCTGTCCCATAGCACTTGTACAGAAGTCTCTTTATAGAAAAATGCAACAACTTTCTTCAGACAGCAGGTTTGAAACCTGTGACCCAGTTATACTGTAATTAGCGTGCTTTATAGAACTGTGAACTAATATTCCATTGGTTTTAGTCTAAGCAGGCTCCATCTGTGGTGATGGGTGACCTGGTTCTTGGCTGCAGAAGATGCTAAGGGACCTGTGAAAAAGAGAGACTGCCGCTTCTTTGCGCTCTCCCCAATCCCCCATTTTTCAAGCTTTTTAAAGGGCAATATCTCAACACTAATGTTGTTTCTCAGGTATATACTCAGCCAGTATAGGAGGGTTAGCATTAGTGACTGGACAGATCCAAAAGGTACTCCCATGTATGTGTGTGCAGAACAGTTTTCATATTTTCATTCCAACAAGCTTAATTTTTTTTATAAAATATAACTTGCATTTTGTTGTTGCCATATCTGGAGACTCCACTGTCTGCTCCAACTTCCTTCTTCCTTTGAAGAGTTACACTACACAACAGAGAAAATGACTAGTCGGTTGCCAGCCACTAGCAGTGAAATGTCCAAGGTGAAAGATTATTACAATGCCTAGAAAGACAGCTGGAATTCTTAGTCTTGAATAATAGTGAAGCTGGTAGGACCCTTATCATTAAACCCCTGAGATTGTTAAACCCCTGAGAAGAATTTTCTAACACACATGCTCAGATGCTTAATTGGCATCTCTATCTGCAGGAGAAGTGAATAGATGTGCCACATGTTCTCTGCTCCCTTTTTGCGTTTTCAGAGTGTGTTTCAACACACCTCTGTATGGCCAGGCCAAAATGCTGTGGGGTTGTATTTTGACCAATAGTGTAGTCCCACATTCTTCTCTTCATTCTACATTTCTAATGCTTGCTGACGGGTCCGGCTGCAACAATGTCTTACAAGACAGGTCTGGTTTCTGATCAGATGAGGAATTCTGTCAGGGTTAAAACACTACATTGGTAACATCTTTGCACACACTGTCTCTCTGAAAGGTGGCTTCTCTTCCCTCAAGTCCTTTGATACACACGTGGCATTGTCTGTTTTTATTTCATAAGCTGATGAATTGCATTCTCATTTTAAGAAAACAACAAACTGTGTCCTTCATGTATGGAATCGTGTTTTGTGGTAAATGGTGTATGATAGCTCAGTTGTACTGTGTGCACAAATCATCTCCAGTTTACATTATTATGTACATTCATTCTTTGTCTGTCACATGAACACTTCTGGCTCTGTGAGCTTAGTGTGTGGACAGACCTATTTATTAACCTTTCCTGCTCAGTATTACAGTAACAAATGACCCTGGAACAAATAGTTATTATTAAATATCCGGTTCAATCTCCTCTCTTGAACCTGTTGGGAAAGTTGCTCACAGGTCACTGATTGTGGCTGCTCCTTGATCACTTACACTTAGCTCATCTGCAACAAGGTGTTGAGAGATTTACTTTCAGGGTAGCTTTATCTTGGTGATACACAAGACTTGCATATACAGCCTCATACGTGATTGTGCATACCACAAAGCTCTGTGTAACCTGCGAATATGAACCCATGTGCAGCGTAACCCACACCATTCAGTCCAGACCATATCCTCTGCAGGACAAGCGTTCTTGATCCCCAGAAGCAGTGCTAATAACCTGTAATGCTTCTCTATACTCTGCCTGACTTTCCATGTCGTGGATTATGTTTTAAAACCCAAACATGGCCATTTTCTCCATTCATTCCTGTTCCTATATCACACTTAATGGAGCAAAAAGGGGGCAAGAAGCATAGAAAATTGATCTTAATTTTGTGAAGCTGGATTGTTTTGTTTCTTGTACTGTTTCCTGAACAGGCAGGAGTTACTGGGCATATTCCTCTAGTCGTAAATTTCTACCTAAAACTTCTGATATTGAAGCATTAGTTTAAGGCTTTGTCGCCTTGAGAGTGCAAACCATGGTATCTCCTTAGTTGCAACAGCTCTTCTAGCAGGAACACCGTTCCAATAGCCAGTGCTAACATGGTTGGACCTCTCACTATAGACTGGGCCTAGTTTGCCACCTCATTAGAAAGTGTATCATTGTGCAAAGTGACCTTATGGAATAGCTTCCCCCTCTTGTGCACTCATTCATTGAGCAATTCTTGTATTACATACAGCTGAAAGTTGGTTTAGGGTTTCCAAGTGGTAGCTTTACTTCTTGTGTTCACTGCCTTATTGAAGCAGATTTGCAGCAATGACTGAAATTGTGTTGTAGACCAATGCTAATCCAGTGTGCTGGTGCCGTGTGGTGAGTTTGCTATATAGACATAGGCTGCAGCACCAAAGTGGGAGCAAGAAGTTTGTTGCCAAATATTCTAACAGTTAAGATCAAAAACAGCCAAATTGCCCCATTCTGGTAGGTAACGCCAATCTTTCTCTGGGGTCTGCTGATAATCCCTCCTTGGGAATTCCCACTAGCTCCAAAATCCTCTCTCTCCTTCCGCAAACTGTCCAATGAGAGTTGGTACCTGCGCCTTTGAAAGCAGGATACACAGGACCCTGGCATCTGGTCAATCCTGCCCATCTGAAGTTTTTAGAACATCACCCTCTTCCCATTAATTTTCATCTCGGGGGAAGAGTGTAAAAACGAAATCTCTCCTTCAAGTGAGTGACATGCTGTTCTCCTGTGGCAGACTGCCTGCACTTCTGCGTAGGCTGAGCCATACAACAAATCACTTCAGTTTATATAGGGCAGTGGATTTCTGTTGGTGGTCTCATAAAGGGCACAACAAAGTTAATAAAATATGATGGCTGTGACTCTTAACAGTAACTAGAACTGGAGCTGTGTCTTTATGGGCAGATGAAACACTAACACAAAACTATCTGGAAAGTGTCGCGGTCGTTCACTGCTTTCCTCTGCATCCTCTGCCCTTGGGTTCTATTCATATCAATAGAATGTGAAATTCTGGGGATATGTGATGCTTGACCTGGTGGTGGCTCCAGAAAAGAACCACCCTGAATATGAATCTAAGCCAAGCATCTGTCCTGTTAGCCCTGACTGAACCAGTTATGGGGAGTAGATTTTTCTAGGGCCATCTGCATGATTTTGGAGGCTTCTCAGTGAGATGATTTGGGGAGGAGGGACATCATCTCAATCTCTTTCCCTCACTTCCCCATCAATCCGTTTTCTCTCCTGTCTACAAGATGAGAGGAAGGGAAAGCAGTTGGTGTGTGCTGTTGTCCAACACAACAGTTCGACCCCAAATTAGGGGTATCCCCAGTATGGGGTCCCTTTGGCTGTGAGTTTTGCAAGTCCTAAAAGCCAGGTCTGGCAGGGATTTATGTCTTAGTCCTTAAAGGTCTTGGACTGCCCTGAAGCAGTGACCTATACCTGGTTTACAGTAACTTAATTTAGCTTTGGCTCCCAGAGCAGCTCATATCTGATGTAGAAGAGATGCAATCTGGGGGGATGGCAGGACCCAGGATGCCATTCTGATCTCATGGGTTTGTATGCTGGGTCCCGTAGTCCTCATGCCTGCAGCTCTGAATTAAAGACAAGTGGCTGTAACCCTGCTCCATTTTATTAGTCAAGGGAGCCTTTGGGCTTCTGTTGAATTGCCAGTGTAGCCTTTAGTGGGGCCGAGTCTGGTCTCCAGCTTGTTTAGCTCACAGGTGAGATCCTGCAAGACCAGAGACTGATGAACTGGAAGAGAAAGTTACAGTACTAGATGTGAGAGTCCTTTTGAGTAGGGAATTCCAGTGCTAGCCCTGTCTTTGAAGTTCCAGCAGAGCCACACAGTCCTCGGAGGAGAAGGGAGAGAGTTAGTCATCTGAAGAGCTTAATAGATGGTTATAGCCATCTGTGGGTGGGCCTGGTGTGAATTAATTCATTTCTTAAACTGTGGAGATTAAAATGTCTCTAGTTACTCGCTTCTAATCCTGATGTCTTGCCCTCTGATTGCAGAAGAGCTGAGCTTTCATTCCATAGTTAGACTCTTGCTAGAGCCATTTGAAGAAATTATTTTCACCCTTCTGGGCAAGGTTTTTTGGGAAGTATTTAGTAGTATGTGAACTAGAAGTACCTTTTCAATGAAATGTATTTATAGAGGCACCTTGTACTTTGGATTACTTGCATTTGATGGACAAACTGGTGCCTCCAATTCTTAAGGGTGATAGGTGTCTCACTTTGGATGGATGTACAAACTTTTAACCCTTTCAAACTTAGGCGATCTGTATGGCTAAGTCAAAAACCACATGCTTTAGGTAGAAAACTAACCGCTTAATTACAGTACATTTAGCCCATTACAAGTTCTCTGGTCTCTACACGCAGAGCTGTCTCCTTGTCGCAACAGAAATTGAAGCATGACCAACCATTTTTTCTAAGAAACGAAGACCGTTTTTGCATGGCAATTCTTGCTGTATCCTGACTGCATGCACTTATTAACTATGCAAGCATTAATATGAACTATAGATTGCACTGTCAGTATCACAAGCTACTAGGTAGACTCTGGAGCTCTGTTTTTGAATCTGTAGTTTTATTTCCCAATGCGGCTGCAAGTCAGCACAGAAAGTATCAAGCACCAGAGAAGAGCATGTATCTGATTTCTTGCTTTATTTGCACATCTTTGATTCTCTTTCCTTTGCAGAATTTTGGATTACTGACAAGACTGCAGTGTAGAGTAAAGTCAGAAAAGAATTTGAAGTGTTGAAATGAGAACAAACTGGTTTTCTATATATTTTTTTTAAACTGGAATAGCCTGACTCTGTTATGTTCTGTATGTAGCCTGCCATGTTCTATATGGTTTTAATGACACGTTCTGTACGTCATGTTGTGAGACAAGGAGGTTGCCTGTAGCAGTGTTGACAGTCTAAAAGAGCTTTTGTAGAATTTCAGTGCTGTCTAAGGGAATGGTTACCAGCCATTGGCACATTGCCTACGTAGCACAGCAGGCTTTGGTGACTGGGACCGTAGGTTCCTCCTGAATGATGAGCTTTTGTCCTAGGCCCTGCTGTTCACTGGCTGTCTACACTCCGCTGTGTACCTCATGCTATGACCACCACGGAGCTTTGCTTTCTCCAAGCCTCAGTCTTGTGCGAGTGCAGGCTCCATGATGGGTAGAGCGTGCACAGCCTAATGGGAGCATCATGGGGTTGGCTGAGGTCTTAGCTTGGTACAGTTGCCTGAGGAGATTGAGAACAGCTGGTCTAAGGGACACTGCCCTCTTAATTCAAAGATGGGTTTCAAGACTTCTTGAGGGATCAGGCCTTTTATTACGAAAAATTAAAGAGCCACAATGAAACGTGTTTATAATTTTTCTGGAAAACGGAATGTGACCCCGATAGGAGATATTCCCTCTTATACAAACATCTTTCCCATCGCCAACAATCCAGTCAGTCACTGGTCACATGTAGGACATACTTATCACCCCCACTTCTTTGTGGCATCTGTTCCAGGACCCTTTTTTCTCAGTTGGACAGCACTTATAAAGAACGTTTGTTTTGAAATGACATTCCAAATCATTTTACAGTAATCCTCTTTATCTTTGCTGTCATTTGCCTACTAATCCGAAATAATTTGGCAGTATCTCATGTTATCTGTGGAGGCAACTGAAATTTAGTTTTAATCTGTGGTGAGATGAAAGTGCTACATGATTTTCTTAATAAAAGCACCACAAAGCATTTGTTACCATTGGGAGCTTTATTTTGCAGAATAAAGGTAAAATGAAGATTCCTACAGTATCTTTCAGGTTTTTGAAAGCTTAGTGGCTTTTTAAAAAACCCCGCTAACACCCAGTATATCTGCAAATAGTGTTTAAATGGCACAGATTAAAACTAGGTGCAAACATACATTCTGTTCCACTCTTAAGGCCCTGCAGCACAAACACTTTTCAAGAAAGCTTGTGTTAGGATGCAGCATTTGTGCAATGCAATATGGGAATGTTTCTAGGTGCTATACAGCCTTGGGTAGTATTAAACACCAGGAGATATAGGCTACACATGGCTAGAACACTTTCTTGTGGCCTTCCGAGTATACAGGTTTGCTCACCAACTGTGCCTCACCATTGGTTAAAATTGAATTTTAAGTCCCGTTACAAATGCAGTTTCTCTTCTGGTCACCAAATTTCAGATTTTAACTGGAATATCTACAGTTCTAAAAGCTGCATGTCATATCACTGTACACGGATACTGGGCAGTGGGGATCACCCCACCTTTGATACTCTTCTGTATTTTAATGTTTTTGAACTGTACAGTAATCTGGAAAGCAGGCTGTCTTTACTTGGGGTTGAACATTGTACCATAAAAACTTTTAAATTATTTGAGGACAAGTGCATGAGACTGTGATGCCTTTTATTATTTATTTGTATGTTTTATTATTCGAGGTGTATGCACTTTTAATATGCAGAATTTATATTTTTATGTTAAAAGATCATTTTCTTTCAGAAAGAAGAGCTTTGAATACAAGGAATTGGAATTAAGTGGAAAAAGTGGGAAAATGTAATAAAATACAATAAATTTATTACCATGCATCTTGGCTGCATGAGCTTTCTTCAGGGGTGAGGGGTTGGTGCCTGCTACCCAGGGCACGTGGTTCGGATTCACCCCATAAACCTGCCCCTTCTTCATCTCGGCACCACTCCCTGTTTTTCCCTTTCTCCACTTGGCTCCACCTTCACTGCCACAGACTAGCTTCTCCCTTTGGGGTGTCTCTGCCATTTCTGGATTGGCCTCCCTGCACGCACCCCCGTGCTCAAACCCTTTCCTGAACCTGGTCTGACACCATGTCTCTCCTTCAGGCCAGGCCCAGGGACGCACATAAAGATGGCATTGTCATGCTGTGGCCACTCCCCTCCAATCAGCCCCCTTGCTTCAGTGGGCATTCCCTCTCCCTCCTCTGTTCTCATGCTGCTGCCTGGACTTGTGAGCTCTTTCTGGAAGGCCTCTAGAGTAGGACGACGACACTGCATAGAGTGCAGTGAGTCTAGCGTACAGGCGGCGTACAAAGCCTTTACACCTGACCTCTCCGTTTAGTGACTGGGGGGGTTGTCTCTTGTCCCTGTGAGCAAATGACAAGAGATGAGCCGGATCCAAAGGCACTTCTTACAGTTAGATGAGATCTTACAACGTTCAAATTGCATGTTTCCTGTCTTGCTGGTGGGTAGTGTAGAATCTCCTTTGTGGCCACTAGATGGCACAACCATCCTGTGTTATCCCTGATGGGGAGGCAAGTTTCAGAAACTCATCTGGAGGCTCCTCAGGCCTGCAGACTCATCCAGAAGTGAAATGTTTGGATGCCTTGGGCTCGGTGGGTTTATATACCACTGAGGTGGATTTTCATGGAATTGGTTCTCCAAGGTGCAGCGCAGACCTAAAGGGAGCGAATGTCTGTGATTCCAGTGTTTTCTCAGAGCCCCTTGTTGGATGCACGACAAATCCTACCTCACTCCAGGGCCTCCTGCCCACGGCCCCTCTCCTCAGGGTCCCTTCCTACTCCGCTTTGAAAAGTGTCAGCAACTAAACCAGGGCTTCAACCGGTCCCTCCCAGAAATCCACCCTAGTCCAGCTCAGCTCTGCTCTGCTTGGGCCTGGGGTAGCACAGTAGGTTGGTAAGGCGGTGCTGAGAACTGCAGGCAACCCAGTCCGCTCCCCGGCCCTGAATCGCTTTGCCACGTGCCCTTCAGCAAAGAGAGATCCAGTGCGTCATCTTCAATGTCCGTTGACCCTTGCAGGGCAGGGGAGACAACCTGGGAAAACAAATGGTTCCATTGCTGCAGAGGACAATAGTGATCTAGAACATTCTGTACACCTATTTAATTCCATCTCCTGACAGACAATGGGGCAGAGAGCGCTCTCAGTAAAAGACATAACACTCGCATCTCTTCCTCAAAGGACTGGAAAGTCTTCCACTTCAGTTCTCTAATCCACCGAGGAGTCCTCCAGCAGAAGCAGGGAAGACCAGACATGGTTCCTGTACGCTAAGGTTAAGGAGAAGCAGACCCCCTGCTCCATCCCACTGTTTTTTCAGGCCTCCTCTCGGACACTCGGCATGTCGGATGTTCTGGTTCTTGTGCTGCCGATGGCGGCTGCTGTGTAGGACTGGAATCCCCCATGATGCCCTGGGGAGGGGAGACCCCAAACAGGCGGGAGCTCCATTTACCTTGGTGAGTGGTGGTCTGGGGGGAGGAGGCTGGCAGTCTGAATCGCTCTCAGATTCCTGTGTTTGGCTCCCTTGGGAGGGTTCCTCCAGCCCTTCACGTGTCTGCTATCCCCCCAGGCTGGCGTCTGGGGGCGATCCCCTTGTGCAGAGTGCAGGCGCGCCTCAAGCAGCCTCACTGTCAAGCTCCCTCGTGCAATGGGAAGGCTTGGGCCTCTGCTTAGAAAAGGCAGCTAGTTCAATTCTCCTGCAGCCATTTGCTTCTGCTGTTCCAGGAGGAACTGCAGAGTCGTACAGCAGCTGCTGCTCCCATCTCCTCCCTTTGGGGGGAGGGAGAGCTCAGTGGTTTGAGCATTGGCCTGCTAAACCCAGGGTTGTGAGTTCAATCCTTGAGGGGGGGGCCACTTGGGGATCTGGGGCAAAATCAGTACTTGGACACTGCTAGTGAAGGCAGGGGGCTGGACTCGATGACCTTTCAAGGTCCCTTCCAGTTCTAGGAGATGGGATATCTCCATTAATTTATATTTATTTAATTTATTTATTTATCTCCTCTGTGATTCTCACTGGAGGGAGCTGGGAGGCTTCCCATTCAGGTCTTGTCTGACTCCTGCCTTTCGTTTTCATACGGGTTTCTGCAGAACTCTCCCCAGATCTCCTGTGCTGGAGCAATTATTGAAATGCAACCTGTAACTTCCCTATGTACAATTCAATATTCTATTAGCCTTTTTTTAATGGCCCCTTATTGAACTGAGGCTTAAACTGTGTAAGACTGATAGTAATAGAACATTTAATTGTGTGCTTGTCGAGCTCTGTCCTAATTAAATATTGTTTTTCATTTGGTAGGTTATGCAGTGATGGTTTTCCCCCTGTCAGTGACGAGAACATGCGAGCTCTCCTGGAATGTAGATGAGTTGCTGATTTATTCTGTGCTGTCAGAACAGGGATGTACAGTAGTTCTCCAGCTCCATTGCTTCGCTTGGTCCAGACTGTGCTGGTGACCGTGCTGGAGGGAGTGCTCCAGCCTGGTTTTGGGGCTGGAGGAGAAGATTGGAGAAATCTCCAGTTCTGATAGCTGGCTGGAGCTTAATCAGCTGTTTGCTCGTGACTAATTCTGATGTGGATGAACTCTCTAGGCTGTGGTCAGGCATACTGGGAGTTGTTGTTGTAGATAAGTATGTATCCTGTTGTAGATAAGTATGTATGGCTCCCAGGAGCCGCTGGGCTGCTTGAACCGGAAGCACAGTGACAGTCTGTATCCCTATGTTCACCCTTTCTACAAAACTATAATGGATTTTGTACAAAGTATGCCTTGTGAGGTATCATCCGAAGACCCATATTTCACTGAACATTATTGTCCTGATAAAATGTGTGGCAACATTGTATGTAAAGTTATAAGATTCTATTCTATAAGACATGTTCCAAGTCTGGGGAAACCACTTCAAACCAGTTCCCCAGAGACAAAAGGCTAGCCAACATTGGAGCCAGGTGTCGTCCACATCAGATGGACAATCACCTGGTTAAGTGGCCATTCTTTGGCAGGAAAAAGGGTGTGAGCAAGAAACTTATATTTTGGCCAAGGAACAGCTGGAAGTTCTCGTCCCCACAGACATCCAGTCTCCTGAACCCCAGCTGGAGATCATTTTCCAAAGGAAAGGATAAGTATAAGAAAAAGGGAACAGAGGCCCCCAAATCTTCTCTCCCTTCATCTCTACTCACGGCATCAGCAACACTTGAAAGACAAAGGAAGCATCATTAGACTGGGGAGGGATCCTCGTTGAAAGATTCAGCCAGTCAGACTGCAAAAGCATGTGGCGAGGGACATTTTGCTTTGAATTCACTTAACTTAAGCTAAGTTAAGTATTTGTTTTACCTTTTATTTCTTTGTAGCCAATTCTGACTTTTATGCCTCACTACTTGTAGTCACTTAAGATACCTGTAGTTAATAAAATTGTTTTTATCTAAACCAGTGTGGTTGGTTGAAGTGTTTGGGAACCTCCATTGGAGATAACGGGTTGTGCGTATCATTTCCTGTTAATGAAGTGATGGACTTTCCATGAGCTTGCATTGTCCAGAGAAGGAGAGAGCTGGGCAGTACAGGATGCACATTTCTTGGGACAAGTCTGGGACTGGGAATTTGCTGGTGTTGCTTGGTAATATCATTCAGGAGTGGCTGGCTGTTGCACTCTTGCAGCATAGCTGGGAGTAATGTAGATGCTGGAGGCTGGGTGTGAGGACACCAGGAGTGGTAATGCTCACAGCGAAGCAGTGTAAAAGGCTCCCCAGGTTGGAGAACGGAGGGGACACAGAACGGACCGTTGAACAGCTGTACTTAGGGAATGTCCCAGTATGGCTCCCTGGGGCAGCTGGGGCTGCCTGGACCAGAAGGGCAGGTTAAAGATGGAATGGTGACTGCGGAGCCCAATGCGGAGCTAAGTACCCTGATCTCGGCAGGTCCTCTAGCAAGTACTGCCAACACTGAGCGGGGGCAGCACCAGGGCTGGGAACAACCACAGACGGACCAAGGGCCTGACTCCATCTTTCTTTCTAAAACCTCATGACTGTTTGGGTCTGACTTGCGCTTTGTGAACACGTAGAGCTGCGGAGACTGCCGCAGTGCCTCTGCTGGCGGGGCTCAGGCTGCCTTTCCAGGGCCAGTGGAACCGCCGCGGCGGGGATGGGGAGACACTCCTCCTACATGTAACCCCTGATGACCAGGCGAGTCGCTCTCCTCGATTCTTCTTCTGGCCCCTGGTCCCCAGGGGTCAGTCGCTCCTGTCTCGTCTGCCAGGTTCTGCTCTGTGAGTTTATCCTGGCTTCTGCATGCATTAGGAGGGATGCCCCGTCTCTGGGCCACGTGGCTCGAAAGAGGAAATGGAACCCCTGCCGGCTCCCTTCCCTTCCTATGGAGACTCCTTGTGCAGCAGGGCAGGGAGCTAGACACCTGCTGGTGGTCCAAAGTGGACTCGTCTCCAGATCTGTCACGGGGACTCCAGCTCCCGCCCAGCTGCGATAGGAGCCGAAGCTAAACCTGCTTCTGGAGGCTGCTGAGTTTAATATTCCTTCCCTTGTTGAGACCTTTTCCTGCCCCCCCGGCCCGTGGACCTGTACAAATAGGTGCAGTTGGTGCCCATCAGTGCAGTGTGAATGGCACCGTTCTGAAACAAAGGCCAGCACCTCTGACTCTTGGCAGGTATGAGGCCAGCCATTAAGGGGGAACAAGACTCAGCCATTTACTAGGGGGGTTATCTGTGTGTTCCCAGCTGCCAGTGTCTTGGAGGCCTCTGGAAACTTCATAACAAATCAATAGGCCTTTGCCACACTGTCCGGAAAGACTCACGGCCGAGAATGCCAACCTCAGGGCACAAACCCCAAACC